TTAAAATAAAGTGATGATGCAAATATTTGCGTACATTTGTGTAAGGCATTAGTCCCTTTGATAAATTTCGATAGTGTAGTAAAAAGACGAAGATTATCAGAAATGAAAATAATGTGAATACAATTTGAAACCTCATTATTTTGGATAATAAGTTAATATTACCAGGGTAGGTTCATGGTGAGAACAAACTGTTTTTGAATGCACAAAGGGGGTTTGAACTTTCGTATGGCTAAGGCTTCAGTAAATCCTAGTATACTGGGTTTAAGTCCCAGAGCGAACATTAACTTTGAGATGCAGGTACATCCAGCTGAAAAGTCCTAAATAGGACGAAACATGCGTCCTGGGTTTCACTGCTAGCCACTATCCATCTTTGCTTATAATTCTTAGTATACGCACTTTTTCACTTTTCTACAACACCACAAAAGTGGAGTTAAGATCAGTCTTATGACCTGCTTCAATTATGTGTTTGGCAATAGAAGATGATGGATGTTTAGCCTCTACTCTTATTGAATCATTTGATTTTATTTGTTTCTTAAGTCATTAAAGTACATGTTCACACACCCTAATTTTAGATCACGATTACTCCTCCCCATATATGTGTGGCTATACACACATTTAAATTGGTAAGCACAGTGGGATGTGATGCAGTCGTTCTCATGTCTTTTAGGTTTTCGATGAAGCATCGACCTTGTTCATTCCTTTGCTACCTAATACGTATTGTTAATAACTGATTTAAGCCTTTGATTCAATAATAGGCTATTTGAATAACTTCTAGATGGTAAGGCGATGTAGACAGGCCTTTTTTCTGCCAAGGCTATAGTAGTTCTCACTATAACATGAACTTTCCAGCCATTTCTAGTCTAGTTGACTTTTTATTTTTATATATAAATGTTCTTAACAAGTATATGTGTGATCAGATTGTTTAAAATGTATTGCACTAATATATCTTACAGTTGTGATAATCTTTGTCTTCTTATTGCACTATCGAAAGTAGATTTATGTATCGTAATTCCGATGGTGGTAAGTGTTCATTAAATTCACTTCAATGAATTTTCTCCCAGCTGGATGTTTTTTCTAATTCCAGTCATCATGAGTAAATATTGTACAGTCTGATGCAGTTTCACTTTAGGGTTACCTAAGGCGTAGCGAAGGTTTCTCTTGAGAAGTCTACTAAAAGTATCGTTTTGTAGCAACTTATGATGTTTGGAAAATAAATATTTAATTGATATATCGTCATTTTGCAAAAGAACTATTCAACAAAATAAGGTTTTATTTCTAATGTTAGTTGAGAATACCAATTATATTGTTCACTCAATAGTGTGATCAATTCAATAATCAAATACTTTTCACAATACAGTTACCAAAGCAATCTATTGTATAAAATAAATGTATGCTCATCTATTATATTATTTATTGTGTTTTACAGTAAATATTACGTTTATAATAGAATGTAAATGTTAGCAGTGACCACTGTACAAATTGAATCTATTTTTGGTAGGCATAGTGACTATTCAATAAGAGATTGTATATCTTTAAAAATAAAGTCAAGTTTCATAAGCCTATTCTACTTATTACAAACAATTTAAGACAATTATTTATACATAATTATCCATAGAAAACAAAGTCTATGATCTTAAGAAGTCAAAATCTACCTTAATGATGTTGTTTTTCCGAAAAAAAGAATATTTTTTGGGATGAATGTAGATAGATTCAAATGTTAACACAATATAAAAATAATATTTATTTGAAGGCACGTTGATATCAAGCGGGAAATTACTGAAAATCATGGAACGCTAAACGTTTGGTAAATTGTATTTATGAACTCATCTGTACATGTATAGCCATACCCCATCAAGCCCACTAGTGACGAGTATAATAAGTGTATTATAGGATTCTGATTCGATAGTCTATAGATTTACCCTATTCGAGGCCTAAGGATTATCGGTTTTACACCGCGTGACACTATTTTTAAGTTTAGCTGAGAAGTTTTTTCAACGACAAAAGAACATGTGTCCTGTGCTTTCTGATTTCCAATAGTTTCCAGGCTGATGTCAGCCCGTGACGCAATTCATCCTGAAATAACTATTAATTTATTTACTATGTTTACCTTTCAATCTATCAACAAAAGTAACCTGTAGTATTATTATGTATTGTTTTGTATGACATTTACTACCCATCTGTAACTAAACAACACGTTGAATTGATTTCCAAAAGATCTTTTATCATTAAATGAGATCAGTTACAGGATTCTTAAAAAGTTAAAAACCCTAGAAAATTACCAAACAAAAGGTGCTTATATCCTGCTGCTGTAACCATAGAATCCAGTGATTCGATGAGAATCTACATTCCACATCATTCACTTTAATAAACTGATCGTGATTTTCTAATAATGAAGTTACTAAAGATTTTCCAACTTAAGCCAAACTGTTATGAAAACTATATTCATACTGAATAACATACTTGGATCTTCTATCACACCACTAATGAGTTTTGACATTTTAACATATGAATACTTAGATTACTTGTGTAGTGAACAGAACACGAGAGGGGATAATCGAATGTATTTAACACAAAATTATAAGACTTGTTAATAAAACCTAACAATCATAAAGTAAATTTCTAATATCATTGTCGAAATTTATTGAAGGGACTAATTGTTTTAAATTCCATAAAGTAAATGCATAATTTGCAAAATGTCCACCAATTGTCTCAAAATGACTCAGACTTCATTGCTCTTGTATTTCCATACAAATTGCATCCTGTTTCTATTCTTTACTGTTCTATCTTCTTGTCTCTCTGCTGCCAGACCTTCTGTTCACGACTGACATCATACACTACTTATGTCAATATAAGTAGCACACACTACAGAACTATCTTGACGTTCGTATTAAAGATTCTGACTTTGATATCGGTTGACAGTTGTTTTGAGTTCCACATGTTCTTCAAATGTAGGAATGCTGTTCTTACTTTCCCAATCCTTGCCTTCACTTCTGCATCAGACCCTCCTTGTTCATCGATGATGCTACCCAGATACGTGAAAGATTCCACCTCCACATTTTATTCAGGAAGATTTGTGAGGAAGAACAAGTGCCGACAGACTAGAGAGATAGATACCTCATCAGGATGCCAAAGTAAGAAGATTCGAACAAGTGTGAGAACTACAAATGCATCAAACTTCTATCGGTAGCGTGGAAATTTTTCAACAGAGTGAAAGATTCAGTAGACGTTCAACTTCGGTATCAACAAGCTGGATTCCGTAAAGAAAGGCTGTGCACAGACCAAAACGTGACACTACAGATCATCATTGAACAATCACTTGAATGGAACTTGTCACCATACATCAACTTCATTGATTATCAGAAGGCGTTTGAAAACGTGGATAGGAGAACATTATAGAAACTTCCTCGACACTATGAATTGGGTAGCTGAGAAAATCCTCAACATCACGCGGAATTCATATGACCGACTACAGTATAAAGTGGTGCATGGAGAACAGCTGACAGACCGACTTCAAGAAAGGACCGGAGTCAGACAAGGCTGTCTACTTTCTCCTTTCTCTTTTTTCTGGTATTTGAGTGGATTATGAAGACCTCAACATCTAAGGGGAAGCACAGAATAAAATGGACAGGTTGGAGGAAACTAGATGAGTTGGACTTCGCAGACAACCTAACTCTTCACTCTCGTACACACCAACGAATGAAGGTCAAGACAAACAATGTAGCAGCAGCCTCAGCATCAGTAGGCCTCAACATACAAAAGGGAAAAAGCGAGATCCTCACATGTAACATGGAGAACACCAACCCAATCACACTTGATCGAGAAGCTCTAGAAAAGGTAGAATCTTTCACGTGTCTGGGTAGCATCATCGATGAACAAGGAGGGTCTGATGCAGAAGTGAAGGCAAGGATTGGGAAAGTACGAACAGCATTCCTACATTTGAAGAACATGTGGAACTCAAAACAACTGTCAACCGATATCAAAGTCAGAATCTTTAATACTAACGTCAAGATAGTCCTACTGTACAAAACTGAAACTTTGAGAACTACCACAACCATCATAAAAATGTACAGGTATTTATAAACAATTGTCTACGTAAAGCACTGAATGTCCATTGGCCGGATACCGTCAGAAGCAGCCTGATATAGGAGGGAACAAGCCAACTTCTAGCTGAAGAGGAAGTTAGAAAAAGACGTTGGAAGTGGATAGGACACACATTGAGGAAATCATTAAACTGTATCACGAGGCAAGCGCTATCTTGGAATTCTGAAGGGAAACGAAAAATAGGAAGGCCGACGAAGACACTGCGTCGGGAATTGGAAGCAAACATGGAAAGGGTGAATAGCAACTGGAAAGAACTGGAAAGGATTGCCCAGGACAGAGTTGGATGGAGAACGTTGGTGAGCGGCTTGCGCTCCCCCATGAGAGTAACAGGCGTAAGTAATGAAGTAATTAGGAAACGATAAATTTGACCAATATGAAAAGAAACCCAAACTTTTAACAAAGTGTTTGCGAACATTATGTGTACAAATATTCGAATATGGACAAAAGCATTACTAGCTATGATATTGAACAGAAAAGTAGGGCTGAATCGAGAATAACGAAATGTATTGTGTCTAGTACCATTCCTACTTATTCCACGACTGACACCTTCATCTATGGAAAAAGAGGAATTTCAAATCAATAAATTTTATACAATTTCTACGAATGAGTAAAAATTGCATAACACAAAAGTAAAAAATGGATTAAAATCCATCAGATAAAAAATCACAAATGTATTTCAAATTTGACAATAATAAAACTAACTAATTAAAATCATAAATTCAATTATACAGTGAAAATGTCATGTAAATTTTGGAGGGTCCTTGGAGGTGCTTGACATAAACGCCTATTCATTCTTAAGCTTTTTTTACAAAAAAGAAACATAATGAAAATATAAAAATATAAATATAAAATCAAATCAAAATTTACAAGTGTACTTGTTTTTTTTTTCTACTAAGTTATCAAATAATCGGAAATTTACGATTTTCACAACTATTCTCTCTCCATTGATTTATATCTTCATACCAATAAGGTCGTTCCAAGTTATCGATTTCATGCGCCAGCATACATAGTCGACAATCAGTGAATGTATTAAAATCAACTGTTCCATGGTTATGCCATTTAAAGTATTCATTATAAGCAGTTTTATTGTTGTCTAGATAGTACAAATAATCCGCTAATTGTTTGACAGAATTAAAATCATCTACATGAATAAAAGAATTTGATGGAGCTGATCTTACATATTCTGATTTCGATGCACCCATTACGATTGGAACAACAGTATTTCTAAAATACAATATATTATTAGAGCTATTAATTATTCTATCATAAAGTAGCGTAAACTATTAGTGGTTTGAGAAATTTAATTGAAAAATGAGGATTGTTAGACAGGTGCTCTGGTAAAACAATTACATTCCTGATCACTTCAGACTCATAAGCCTATAATAACTATTTATTGGAATATTTGAAGTAGAAAGGGTTGCTAGAGTACAAGTTTAGTTACAGGTGATCATCATAATTACTTGTAGTATAACTACTAACGTAAAGAGTTTGGTATAGTTTAATGTAATCTGCATAATTAATCTTCTAATAATTTGAATATAAAACAGTTTGGATGAGAAACGTGTTTATGAAACAACAATCCAATGAAATTTACTTTCAGTATTTACTCAATAGTTGCCTCATCAAGATGGATTCTCCTTAAAATATGTAGTCAATCGACGAGATATGATTTTTCCTACTTTTTGACAAGAAGATTCGTTGAGATTGATAAAAGATATTGTAAATAGTCATCTAAAGATATCAACGCAATTTCTTCAACCTAAACAACAATGTGAATTGATACATCGTTAAAAATGTCAATGATCTTCACAATTAAATTTCAAATGTATTCAATATTCATTTATCACAAGTAAATTAAAGCCATAACTCAGTATGATCTGTTTCATAACTTTATTTCTATTAAATTTAATAGCTTTTATTTCAATAACACGTTTTCCATAACATGGGAGTTCTAGATATATGAATAAAGGAAAAACAATATTTTTTCCTATCAAAGAAACCATACTGAATGTAAGCTAAACTGATGATACTTCTGCAACGACATAAATCATGTTAATAAGATACTTGAAACTTTCAACTTAGTCTATTCCAACATGAAATTCACAATCGAACATAAAGGAAAGGATAACATCTGTTCCCTAGGTCTAGATGTCATGGAAGAAGTGACGAAACCTATTAAACATTCATGTGTCGGAAAAAAACCTGGAGTGGCCAAAATAATTTTTGCCTAGTCACTTACACTTATCGGTTGGTGGGAACGCTGTACCACAAAGCCAAAAAGTTGTGCCAAGTTGCCAAGTAGTCGCTAGTTGAATACTATCCTTTCGGATCAGGCTGTTCTTGCTCACCCATATATACAGCGCTTCTGTTGTCAATCTTTCTTTATGAGTGTTAAAACCTTATCAAGGTATCTCGCAAATATCCGATGAGAATTAATTGGACCCTTTATTTATTCAACCTGTTTATTTCGCATGCATCGTTATTTTGACTGAAATTAATGTGGGTTATTTTAGCAATACAATTATGTATTTGATGATTCTTATTTGACATGCACATCAATGATTCAGAAACAATTTTTTCAACCTTCAACTTGAATTTTTTATTTTTCCTTTATATAAAAACATTAACACCTAATATCAGCTATTAATAACTCAACCTTATGCATACATAAATACACACAATTCGCTCAGTCATTTATTTTCACATCGTGAACTTTTGACATGATTCGCATTTAGCTGATTCATGTTATCCTATTTACTAAAATCAACATCCAAATATGATTGGATTAACCAAGTATAGATTTGATTGTTAAAACGCTATATATATTTCTTTGATGATTTTGACTTTGATTATTACACTGAAGAAGTCCAGACAAGTTAGCTGGACGAAACGTTGGGATGATTTATTTAAATTTCAATCACTGAGATTATTCCAAATATAATTTTTTACATATGATAACTTCTCTATACTCGGCGCCTAATTTCTGTTAGACGATTCATTCTAATCTTGACGAATATTCGTATAAATAAATAATATTTATATTTACAATTTCAAAAGAAAAAAAATCTTACTTAAGAGCATTCAGAAAGAACTTTTCAGTAATATAATCTTGACAGATACTATTCTCAAAACTGAGATAGAATTTATAATCATTTTTCAATGATTCAAAACACTTGCTATTATATTTATCACAAATTAGATCTCCACATGCACCATAGATATCAACCTATTTGAAATATAACAATAAAGAGTTAATAATATAATGCACAACAATTAATGCTCAATCGTTTATAATGAGTTAATGATTTTTTTTAAAAAAATACTTGTAATGGCTTAGCTTCGTCAATCAATCGCCTTTGTAACCGTTAATATATAAACCCCAATGGTGTTTGAAATCAGAGGACAATAAAAAGCGGCGACTACAGATAACTAAGCTACAATCACATAGAGTGAATTTCATGCAGAGAGGCGAATATGTGTATGTGAGCGAATACAGAGGCAAATTTATAGTCAAATCGAATCAAGACGCAGATAGGAAAGACAACGGCTAATAGTAGGATTCGAGTACATTAATGCACGGGGAAGAGAATGATTCATCGGACGATATTCAGACTGCCAACATTTTAACTAGAGTCTGTTGTGCGATCAAGCGTACACGTTTATACAGATATGATAGTAACCATAATAGTACAAAGAAAAATGCGAATTGTTATTGTTTGAACAACCATAATTGAAACTGATTGTAGGAAAGCCGCTATATACTCGAGATAAATGTTTATCAATCGGATTATCTATTGATGTTTTGTATGAATTAACATACACTGTTAAACAAATGTACAACAAGATAATACACAATAAAGAAGCATCTATTGGCACTTGACCTATAAAATTAGAAGAGAATACTTCAATTAATGATTCTTAATTAGGCCCATTAAAACACTTTTTATAATAGTCCATATTATACGGAAAAAATTCATTGTAATCTTAGCAACAAAACAGTCACAACGTATATTAAATACATCCAAGACAGTTATAGTTTATACACCTTATCTAAAAGTTATCACCACATGTTAGCGGGACATAGATTTGATTAAAACATGCTCGATGCACCATTGCATTGGCGCACGCTGATTGGCTAATCATTATCCAATCAGCACTAGCCGATACTTGGAGAATACTCTAGAAATCTTCTCATGTAAAAACTATAAATATACTAACGCTTTTCCTATTGTGCTTCTTACTTCCATCTAACCTTGTTATTTGGAATATAATCTCTTTCCTGTTCAACCGTGTCCTGACTTGGGGACTTGTCCAGTGAATTGGTGTCCGAGAATACTAAGCAATAAGAATAGCTGAGTTATAACTGTGAGACAGAATTATAACACCACCACCTCAAGGTGATAGTTACATTTCTACATTAAGACATGATTATATGCTGAACAAATAGCTTGCTAAATTGTTTAATCCTAATTCAAACCCATGAACAAGTAATGATTAACTGTTGTGTCCTTCTTATGAATTTGAAGAACTGCTAAACTATTTCTCAAAGTCGCTTGTTTTAGTATCATCATTCAAATACGTTATCTAAAGATCATCATTTTCTATATAAATGACAATATGTGCATGATGGAATGTAAAAGAACGTTTACAACTTCAAATGTGACTATAGGCACAATGCTATTGTTTATTTTTAAAGAAATACTACAAGCTAATACAAAAATTATTCTTATTAGAAAACGTGTTAATCATTATACATGAACTGTTTACGCTATTAACTAGACCAATATGATCAATAATTAGATTGTCCACACTTGCTGATTATTTTTTCAGTGGCTAATTTGCCAAACATAAGACTTTTCGGACAATAAGGATAATAGCTTAACTTCTTGAAGTAGAAGTTGATGATGTTGTCTACAATGACAACGAAAACTTTGTAATTAATGTATCGACTTCACAACATCAACAAACATATAAGCTTAGTTTTCATATCTAATCTATCATGTTTTACTATTGACTTAATATTCTAATTTACTTTCAGTTTATTTTCTGAAATACGTATTTATCAATTATTCTTTTTGCACGCTTAAATCCAGAACAAATACAATGATCCTACTCAAATATTTACAAGTTAATTATTTTCAGCTAAAGTACTAAGATCAAATCAAGTTAAATTGGCTTCTTCTTACAGAAAAGTTTATCAGTTTATGGGATTCCAAATGCTTCCTTTTAATACATGACAGCATTGAACATGAAATGAAAGTTTTTATTTAGTCAAATAAATGTGCCAAAACAATTAACTATCAGATTAAGAAGTAATTGTTGATAGTTAACTTGTAAAATTATAACAGAATTTTAAAACAATCAAACAACCTTCTTATTCTATATATGTTTTTGAGTATCGTTGATATGTGGTTGTATTGTTGTTTACCGAGTAGTAAATAACTGTGTTGGATCTATATCCTTATCTTTGTTAGTATTCGATCTAAATTAGCTCTATAACAAAACAAAACTAAACCACTGATCTTGTCTTGAGCATACTCTATTTAGGACAAATGTGTAGTAGACATGATTGAATCAACGTTTCGTGATGTTTCAGGTAGCACAAAACAAAACCATTAGAATAGAAACAAAAAGGAGCTTGACAATTGTTTACTGTTGCAGTAAATTCTTCAGAAATAAATTTATCTCACAATACAATTATCCTCATCGTCATTATAAGTGATGAGATACACTTCAACTATCAATAACTTTATTTAGACAATACCTAGTGTTCAAATATCTAATGTGAAATACTAACTAATTTTCATCGCTTCTTCAACTAACATCAATTTATGGTGAAAGTTACCTTTCACAACAAAATTCACTTCAAAACTTTTAATTTCAAAATTGTCATGATCTCTTCAATAAAAGTTGTCTAATTAATAATTTTTAAATAGATGAACAAATCACTCTCTTCATTCACACAATCTAATCAACTTGAACTTTGTCAATCACAAAATTAATAAGTAACTTTTACTTATTAATTACATGAGTTTATTTCTTCACTTATATTTTTATTTGACTCAATAATAATCTCAAATATTGATTAACCTGTAACTTAATCTATTTTAACTGTTGATATGGTCTAGTTTTTTTAAAAAAATAAATGAAAATACAAAGGTAAATCAATATTCATTTTAATATTGTTTATCACTAAGTGAATTATTTTTCTTCTTTTTTTTTACAAATTTTAAAAGAAAAACAAATCAACAATTATCAGAAGGGGTTTGTGGAGATTTTTAGAAATTTTCACAGATTGAAATCATGAGTCAGTTGAAGCTAAACCACCATTGAAAACCGTCCAGTGCTTCCAGGTTCTCAATGGTGGTCTAGCTTCAACTGACTCATGATTTCAATCTGTGAAAATCAACAATTACCAATATGATTGCATATAAGTTTACACTGATGTAATAAATCTATATTGTAATAATGATTATTAATAAATTAATTGAATAAATAAACAACAAAAAACTGTTTACAGATTAGGTTATTATTGATATTTTTCTTACCTTGATATATTTCATTAATTCCTTAGCATAATTCATTCGTGGACCACCACCATTACAATTACTTACAAACCATGCAATCATTTTAGTTTTACCATTAGAAAAATCTTTATCAAATTCAATTGAATGATTTAAATCTTTTGGTACCATATCTGAAAATGGTACATATTTATAATATGGTGTAACTATAGTTGAATCCACCGTATATGTAGCGGTAAAATTAATCTATAAGTAAAATTGAAAATTGATTTTTAATTTGTTGAAATACCAATAATGATTAGTGTATAAATATAAGAAGAGATAATCTAAAGTACCATTCAATAGGATTGATATCAATAAAACTGTATGATATTAACAAGATTACAACAGGTAATATAAAATTCAATGAATAAAAACCATATACCATACATTTACGTTATAATATCCCACTTCATATATCAGTTAACAACTAATATTCTTTAGCTTATTTTATACACATTATTGATATTATTTTGATCTAGTTTTGTTCTCTGAGCTGGATAGTTTAGTCGTGGAGCTTTTATTGTTCGTCTGGACGACATCATCAGGTAGAAGTCTGTGCTGATGACGTCATTCAGAAGAACGGTGAAAGCTCCACGACCAAACCATCCAGCTTAGAGAACAAAACTCTGTCAAAATCATCCACCTGAGCTACAAATCTTCTCCACCATCTCACAACCAAATATGTATTAGGATTTTACATTGAGGTATGATATATTGTGAAACAATTGACATAAGTGAATGTAAAGTGTTGGAATAAGAAAGGTTATCAGTAATAACTACATACATGTGTGCGAGAACAGGTTGGAGGTCATTCGGTGTTAGAATCAAAAAAGCACGAGGGGTGGGTGGTGTAATAATCGAATGAAGTACAGAAATAAAACTAGTGACTGAAAATTGAATTACCAGGATAGTAATAAGTTTATTACTGTATCTTTTTGAATACATAGATCAGGTTTTTGGTCGTTAGTTTTATTTTGTTAATGTTTAGTTTGTTATATTTCTGTTTCATTACCAAATTTTTATTTTATGTACATTTAAACCACCCTCTTCACCCACACATTTCCACTCACTCAATTCTCTTAAATTATTTTAACTCATCAAATTTTGTTTAATTATTGCTCAAATCATCTTACCAGATTTTTAATTCCAGGAATCTTGTGCAAACCCTTTATTACTTCTAAAATTATTACACAATTTTTATTATCTGTCACTCGGTTATTAGATCATCCACCCCTAATGCTTTTTTTATTCTAACACCGAATGACCTTCAACCTGTTCTTGCACACATGTATGTAGTTATTATTGATAACCTTTCTTATTCCAATTCTTTACATTCACTTATGTCAATTGTTTCACACTATATCTTACCTCAATGTAAAATTCTAATACATATTTGGTTGTAAGCAGCTGATGAGAAACCACGAAATATAAAGAATTCATATTATTCTGCATCCCTGTTCATTCTACCTCTATTTAATTTCATGTTTAGTCAGAAAAATACAATACGTAATACGGAAATAATATGCAAACGAAAAAGATATCCAAATTCCTTTTTGAAGATTGAAAGAATAAATACGGTAAAACGTGTAAGAAGACTTAACAATGTCTTTATTAACTTCGGTAAAATGAAAATATGACATACAGATAATGTGATTTGAAGATGTTGCAGAGTTTTGTTAGTTCATTTATTGGAAATGTATTACTAAAGGAGTTAATAAACACCTTATATCATACTTTGTTTATTCAAGTATTTTTATTGACCCGAGATCAGACTCCATTAGGATAGTATGATGATTTGTAGTGTCTGTGCTTTGTTAAACAATCACCCTCGTAACCGTTATCATATAATCCTCAACGGTGTTTGAAATCAGCTAGAACAAGTCATGTGGGCACTAAATAGCATTACATATTTTTACAAGTTTAAAAGTTTAAACATGCTAAAATTATATCGGATTAATATTAACCAAAAAAAAGTTACATTAAGAAAATAAATAAATATAGTTATTGATACTCACTAATGAAAAATCTAAATTTTAATTCGACAGTATATTTCAGATTCATCTTTCTAACTCTGATTGTATGCATACATATAGATCTATTCAGATCTATAAATGAATTTCATGATACCAATCAAGCGATGGGACTATAATTTATGAACGACCTTTCAGCGACGCTAAAGTGACCTTGAGAGTGTCCACCTGATAACTGGGACCAATTGAGGGTTATAAATTAATGTGATGAATCCGAATTTTGATTTACAGTTGATGATTAATGTTAGAAATTAGATTTAGGGTTTTCATCACGAACTAACAGCTATAATGCCAAGACTTTATTTAGCCAAATGGTTGAGTGAGTTTCGCGCCAAAATCCGTTACCCGTCATTTTATACTTGATTGATTCGTCTATAAATTTTAGTCTCGTCACAAACGGTATTATTTTGTCAGTGGAAACACATAGTTAGTATATGAATCTGAAATATTTACTTATGTGTCAATTCATCAGATGATTTTCAGTAAACAAAAAATAATTCTAGGAATAAACACTGATTTATTTCGTCACATCAAGTGAATGTAAATAAATAAAATGATTTTAATTGAATTAGTCTATAGGGAATATAAATGGTGAAAATCTATTCAGTCAGTAATGGTCGGATTAAAATTTAATGAACCGACATGAAACAATGCATAAATTTATTACTAACCAAGTTTTTGAACATAGGGAATGAAAAATGTCGTGGAGATTCAAGATGATAAATCAGCCAAGACTGATTCTTTTGTTTCTTTAAGCTACTAAGTTCTGCATCATTTTCAAAAACAACTAAGTCAGCTTGCTGAATCGTATGACTTACACTACATTCATACACAGGACAGTGTGACAGATCGGGAAATGAATTAGAGGATTTACTTGGATAATAAATACGTTTCATAAGAATCCGTCCATTTTTACGTGCCTAAAATTAAGAAATAATGGTAGATAGGATGACAAAGCATGACAAATAAATAAGATCTATGACAATATAAATGGTTACGAATTCGAAAGCAACGGATAAAAACGACAGGTTAAGGAAATGTGTTAAAGAACATATAACTAATAGTCAAGTTGGTTTCAAACCTGGACCTGGACATACCGACCAGATATTCGCCCTTTGATAGGTCCTGGAAAACAAACATACTTCTCGACACCAGACTAGAGATGTACTCCTTGACCTTAAGACAGTATTCAACTCAATTGGTCGAAATGTCTTCTGAGAGTCTCTATCATTTAAAGGCGTACCAAAGAATTACGTTGAACTTGTACAAACCTTTTTTCTGACACTAATGGTCGTATTAAAGCATATAGAGGCTGTTATCAAAATTGCCAACCTCAAATAGCGTTCTTCAGGGTTCTTCACTTTCTTCTTTCTTACTTGACTCTCTCATAAATATCCTTTCAAAGATAATGCTCTCATCGTCTAACATTTTAAGGGTCGATGCGCTACTAGGGTATTCACTTTCTGACTTCGAATAGGCAGATGATATAGTGCTGTTTAGTGAAGATGCTGACAAAGCGCACAGTCTCCCGGCTACGTTAAGCAACAGTGTAGGCATATTTGGGATAATTTTTTTCCCTTGAAATGCAAAATGTTGCGTCAAGACTGGTTTATTTTAACGCCTGGACCAACAGTAGGAGGAAAAATAAATGAGCACATCAACCACATCTTAGGAGTCTCATGAGTCCTGATGGGTCGGTGTTCGACGAAATATAGTCACGGACTGAAAAATGGAGCATGGGCTTTCCCCCTTGTGTCACTGGCGGAGTAGGTGAGACATCCGTCCGCTAACCAAAGGACGAGTTTGCTCAACATTTGTTCGTTCCATTTTACACTATTGGTGCGAAAAATGACCATTAACAGTAGTGGTTTCAAGGTATCGCTTGTGTCTCTTGAGTTGAACATGGAACATTACATAGAGATAACAAACCGGTTGATGAGTTTATGAATCTTCATCGACAGAGGTGGTTGGCATATATGTTGGCTATGTCTGGTTTGGAAGTAGGCTGGAGGGAAAAAAGAGGCTACTAAACTGAATTGTGGTGTCAGTCTGTGAGGTCACTAACTGTTGGACTCAGTCATATAGGTAGGTACAGACTACCTAGTTAATTTCCACGTAATTATTGCAACCATTATTTAAAGACCTTAGGTGATATAGCACATGATCTTTCATAATGAATCAGGTCCAGTCACTCTTTGTCTTTACTCAGACCACAGATTCTTAAATTGTCTTATCGTTCCTTTTCATTCGATAAATCCATGTTTTCTCCATGACGCTGTTATTGCTTCGCTTCTCCTGGAATTTGTTAGAATAATGTTATCTCACAGTTCTAGTGTGGTGCAGAAAATTAAATCGAAGCGCTTATATACTGGATTCTGTGTTGCACATAAGTGACTGATCAATAACCACTGTTTTAAGCATAAATTAGCCGACTTCAGTTTTCCCGAAAAGAAACATACTTTCTGGACAACGCATGTCAGATTGCCTTTAACAGTATATATCACTTGTTATTAGGGGTGTAAAAGCCTTTGTTTACTACCATTAGCCAATTTGAATAAGATCTGACTAAAAACAGATGTATTTTAGTTTTTTGACAACAAAACACATTATCAGTACAAAAATAATACTTATTATTCAAGTTTATTGCACTATACCAAACTATGTTCTATCATACTATCTGTATCATTAAGAATCTTTACTCAGGATATCAGTTAATTACTTGAATTTCCTAGTCAAGTAGTATTTTAACTAGCTGTTTTAGTGTTAGTAACTTGCTATTTTCCATCCATTCATCCATTTTTTATAGAAAGTTACTCATCTCTAAAATAATGCCTATCAAATTTACTGGTTCATTCGATTTAGTAATTGCTTAGTCAAATAGAAACATTGTTCTTCAGTGCTGTATAAATTTGAACTAAATATGTTTCAATCTTTCGATTGTATGATATAAAAGATACAACGTGTTAACTTCTATCAAATAACAGTGGTCTACTTAGGCTTTTAACACTCCATTTTTCACGATATTCACTTATTGCTATGAACGTTTCTGTCTTTGATTCATTTTAAATAACTACGAATGTCTACTAACCATGTGTTTGTGTGTGCTTTCAGAAAATGTATTAAACCCATCGCCATTGTTATTACTGAGAAACTCGAGAATTACCATGACGGTGGTTCATATGTTTTCGTTTTTCTCTATTCTTTGAATAAACGAGAAGAAATCACTATATAATTCGTGCATCAAATATATTTAGCAATGTAAAGAGATATCATGGCAGAAGTAATGAGCGTAATCATTTATAGGTGAATATGAATGGCAACTAATCCTTGTCTACAAATGCCTGAAATATTTTGTAAATTTTCACAAGCCAAATGCTTATAAGTCATAAACTTCATAGCAGTTTACATGCTTTATACTAATAATTATTTTTTGTAATCAAACCAAAGAAAATGAACACAACAAGTATTATTATCAGAAGGGGTTTTGTGGAGATTGTAGTAATTTCAATAGTTGAGATTATGAGTCAATTGAAGCTAGACCACCATGGAAAACATGGTGTATGGTGGCGCAGTTTCATGGATTAGTTGGGAAACCCGGAAGCACTAGATGGCCATTCCGTCCTATTGTGGAACTCCTCAGCAGTGCGCATCCACGATCCCGCTTCGTGAGATTCAAACCCAGGACTTACCAGTCTCACGCGCGATCGCTTAACCACCAGACCACTGAGCCAGCATCCAACGGTGTTAATGTCTAACTTCAACTGGTGGTTTTTATGATCATAATTATTTTGTAGACAAAATCATTATGTGAAGCCACTTTAATGCATGAACAAACTATACACAAAACAATATAGTTAACAGATACTGGCCTGAAGTAAAGTTCAGGATATGGGATTTGTTTAATCTAAAACTCGTTCGTTCAGATCCACATTCTAACTTCAAAATTAAAGCTGAATTATTTTTTAATGTTTCCAATACTCCTAGTTTTAGAAGTTTATATACCATTAGATGCTATAACTAATAGTCAAATTTATTTAAGTGTTGAGAAAACGTTTTCTCAATACTTAAAATTCTTTCGAGCTTTAAACAATCACATTCAAATATACTTTAAAATATCTGATGATTACCACCTATCCAATATACCGATATTTCCCAACTAAAAACTTGTTATTTGACAACTTTCCAACAATCAAGGAAATGTTAAGAACTAACTTATCGTGTTTACTTATTTTTTCAAAAGAAAAAACTTTTTTTGAATTAAAACTAGAGTCTTCTCAACATTTATAAACGGTTAGACAAAATATACACATCATTTCACAAAATCATATGTTAAGTGATAGTCACGTTTACATCTAGATCATTGAAAACGTTTTATGAGGTTTCACTGAAAAATAACCTTGAAATTTGCAATCAATCATCGTCTTTTATTTCATATTTCCTTTATACATAATATATACTTAATATTGTAATATACAAAGTCACAGCCTGTGCGAAAATCATTTGAGAATCATTTACAATCAGAAGGGGTTTGTGGAGATTTTAGAAATTTTCACAGATTGAAATCATGAGTCAGTTGAAGCTAGACCACCATTGAAAACCTGGAAGCACTGGACGGCCGTTTTGTCCTAGTATGGGACTCCTCAGCAGTGCGCATCCACGATCCCGCTTCGCGAGATTCAAATCTAGGACCTATCAGTCTCGCACGCGAGCGCTTAACAACTAGACCACTGAGTCGGCATTCAACAGTGTCTAACGAAGTCTAACTTCAGCTAATCCATGAAACTGCGCCACCATACACCATGTTTTCCATGGTGGTCTAGCTTCAATTGACACATGATTTCAACTATTGAAATTACTAAAATCTCCACAAAAGCCCTTCTGATAATAATCATCTGCTCACTAGTGACTGGTTTCAAGAGGCATTTCCTGGAGTTCTAGTGAGAAGCAGTGACCAGTGGAGTTCAACCAGGTCTGTTATGAGATACCAAATCACTGAAGACAATGGTGTACGGTGGAGCAATTTCTTGAATTCGTTGAAGTTAGACATTAACACTGTTGCATGCTGACCGGCTCAGTGGTTTAGAGGTTAAGCGTACACGCGCGAGACCGATAGGTTCTAGGTTTGAATCCGGTGAAGCGGGATCGTGGATGTGCACTGCTGAGGAGTCCCATACTAGGACAAAACGGCCGTCCAGTGCTTCCAGGTTTTCAATGGTGGTCTAGCTTCAACTGACTTATGATTTCAATCTGTGAAAAAATCATTTATAAGGCAAACAGAATATTCATCACTATGATAAGAAACGTTTTCATAAGTTTTTACTTCTAATCTACGTACTTGTTACTTTTCTAGTGATACTAGTTAACTTTTTATAGTATTGTTCCTGTATACGAGGTGTGGTTGCGAACTTCACACTCAACTCTCGTTCTTTACGTAGGCTTGGGACATGCAGAAACCTTAGGTGAGCTCCAGACGGAGTTTTTTTTAAACAACACTACTTAGCATAAATAGTTTGTGAAGACTGTTTTAAAAGAAAAAGTAACACGTTATGTAAGTTTTTGCATGTTGTTCTTTACATCACGAGAAACAGTAATAATAAATTAATTATTAATACCTTTGTAATTTCACATAGCCTGTAACTATTTTGACACTAATATTTAGTTTTTTTACAAGGGATATATTTCCTGTCAATTGTATAGAGTAAAATATTTCATAATATTGTATGAGTGCAAATTGTTTACCAGGTACAATACATGTTCATAAAACAAACTAATAAATCATTAAGCTTTAACTAAAATCATTGATCAGTAACGTTTACAACCAGTTTCATTAGCTTTCATTTGGAGCTGTTACAAATGAATGAAGGGAAATTCAAAATATGGTCACTGGTGAAGAAAATGCATTCGTAGACATACAAAATCA